GCGTGTCTGCTTGCTGTTCCAATGGACTGATACCTGCCGAAGTCTAAATGGCTTCAGCTATTGTCGTTGGGCCGAACCTAGCGATGTTCAGACCCCCCCCCCCCCCTGGGCTTAATGATAATGCGGATGTCGTGCTTTGGTAGGTGAGGCATTTGGCTTGCTCGAATAATTTTGTTCTTCAAATTTTCTCTGTTGCGGGGCTTGTGCTCGTTGCGTTTCAAAGTGCTATATGACGGCACACGTTTGGAGCCTTCATTTTGGGCTCGGCGACACGAGGCGGTCAGCCAGCCTTGGTCTGGCGTGATTTCCTCAGGGTCAATGTCTTCCCCTGTCACTTGGTACTCCATCGCTCAGCGGGACAGTGCGGCTACGGGGCGCGCGAGCAAGCACGCGCCACGTTAGAGCAAAGAAGACACTCGTCAGGGCTAGCTTTCGGCGGGCGAGCGACGATGGCGGAGGCGAAATAAAATGCAAGAAGCAAGCACTCACTGCGCCCAAATTGTGTCGGCAGAGTACTTGTGTCTTCTGGAAGTCGTTGCACTAATATAACGTTGAAATCACAAAGTGGAGTCGCAAAAACGTTGAATAAAGCAGGAGCCGTAGTGCAAGCGTTCGCATACCCGGCCAATCAGGTTAAGCGTGTTTTTTACAGGAATATATTTTAAATTAGTACGCGTTATAAAGCGTTCATAGATGAGAAATTGAAGCGACCACATGGCTTCCAACAATGAAAAAGTAAATTGCCTTCAATATACAGCAATTTCGGTTGCCATATATTTATTTTTACGATTTAAGATAGGTCAAAAACAAGTGATACAAATAACTGCAAGTTAGGCTCACGTAGTGTATCTTCTAGGCAGCCGGTGTTTCGCTGGTCAAAGCGCGTTTGGCCTTGCCAACCCGGCTGGCGAGTTGCTGCCGGCGAAGCGATTTCCAAATAAGGAAATAGTGAAAGAGTGTCGGTTTCTTTAAAAGAAGCAGTGCAGCAAGAAAACATTGTTTGAACATGAACTGACAAAACACGTCCTTTCAATATGATTTTATAAAACAAATAGTTGCTGGCGCCGGTGCTAGCAACAAGCGCACAACGTAGGCACACATTTTGGCGCGATTGCGGCATGTGTACAACAAAACATTGTGTACAATGAAACAACCCATTTTATGCTATACGAAATGAACGAGTGATATATGCATGTACACAGCGCGCAAATGAACGTGTATTGCACCCGGTGCACTGTTGATCGCACTTATCCCGATCGCAATCAAATTTATAAACAGTAATTGGCGTCATTCTTTCTGCAGCTGCAGCGTAAGAGAATCAATCACATCTGAGTTGATCACAATCAAAAGTGTCCGTGTGACAGCGTTTTAAGTTACAACTTTCGAAACGCTGAAATGGCACAACTTAGGCTGCACAAACAAAAACGGTCCGTGGGCTGGCACTTAATTAACGTGATTGATTTTTACCAGCGACAGGAATCGCCTTTTCGGATGCTTTGGAAATCAGAAAATCCTATAGCCATTTCGCGAGTTGTTTGTGCAATGTCGCATGCAACACCAGAGAATTTCGCCCGAGAAAATGCCGCGATAATGTCTCACTAAACTAGCCGCGACAAGACGGGGCGAGCCGAATCGTGGCCGTCGATCGGAAGGCGACACTCACCTGTTTTAAGAGTGACTCCGCCATGCAAGGGGGCGCGCACATCGAGTAACTAACACTCTCTAAAAACTCTTCAGGCCTCTTCACATTCACCTTTCACCGCGTCCTACGTCACGAAGAGGGGCCAACGGAAAAAAATAGGGAAAAGAGTGGCTACACTGGCCCCACGTCTGTTCTCGGCGCGCTTGCCCGGGCAAGTGACAGCCGTGCGCGCCAAGCTGCTGTGCAATTTGTGTTCTTCGCGGCGTTTGTTTGCGCTCAATTCGGTGTTCTTCGTATCCATGTGAGCATCCTTTTTTGTGGCGTACACGTGGTAATGCCATATGTGATGTTTGGCGTGAATTGCGAGGATCGTAACTACTGGAAGTTTGTGCAACAGGGCCAGTGTTGCGATCTTGGGTGCCACCTTAAATATGAAAAAGGGCCAAAAGCGCACCTGTGATAATTCCTAAGCGATGACGCGCAAAAACAAATATGGTTTCGAGCTATTCAACGGAAGAATTTCACGCCAACAGTGCAGTCGAACGCAAAGAATTCTGACATTGCTTTCTAGGGTGTGTGAATCATCGTTCTCAGCTGCAACATCTGTATTAAAAAGGATTCCTCTTCTCGTACCTAATGAGAATACTTCAACACAACAGTGAAGAAGCATGCATTTCTCGTGAATTTTCTCTGATCAGTAGGGTGCGTTTGTAGATGAGCAGTACTAAGAAGGCTATCCTTCTCACAATATAGTTAAAATAACTTGTCATAAACTTCACCTGGTTTTGTCTATGTGTTTTGTTTTCTGCCTGGTTATGTGTAAAATCATCCTTCTGTGCTAAGCGTGTTAAGTAGCAAGTTTATTGCGACAATAAAAATGGCATCCTCATGGTGCGATGCAAGAAAAAAAAGTAAAGTAGTGAAAAAATGCAATTTTCTTTCATTGCAGATGTTGAAACCCGCCTTCGAAGGTGGTTTTATTTTTACTTTCAAAAAGCGAATCGTAAGCGTATAAACTTTTCAGGTTTATCGATAGTGCAAAATTCGTAGTGTCGCAAAAAAGTTCCTATGCTACGCGTATCACTGTGCCGTTTTTTGCTTACCTTGAGAATGGTTTCGTGCTTATACCACAGTTAAGTAATTATGAAGAAACAGCCATCCACAGGTTGAATCTACGCTCGGTGCGTTTCATGTGTAGCAAGTTTGTAACAGCCCACTCCCCCCTCTTTTTTCGCTCGCAGATTTGCGAGCTGCACTTCCAAGTAGACGATTTTATAACGACGCCGTGACATCCAGATGAACGAACAGGAAGGATATTCGAAGTAGAACGGTAGAAACGCAAGCTGAAGCACAATGTTGTACCTTCTAACTTTCCGAACTGTCCAAGATACTTGCCCTCAAAACCAACACGTCATTAATCGCCAGCGAGGAAGATCGCAAGTTCGAAGAGCGCTACTTTGCAAGAAGCTATAAACAGGTCACCTAAGAGAACTGAAGCAAAGATTGCAACATCTTCTCGAGGGGAACCAACAGGTGGATGCGGAGCATCGCAGATTGGCAGTATTGGTGTTATTAACATTTTTTAACAGTGTTATTACGTTGTTAACGTGCGTTGGCTACCACACATTGCACTGAACGCAGTCGGAAACTCCGCATTGCTCCGCATGACCCATGGTTCCCCTCTGGAAGATGGTGTAATGTTTTTGATTGCGTAGAAAAAGGTGAAACGTTTAACGAAGGTATAATTAAGGAGTATTTAGTATTTGAGGTGTGCATTTTGCTTTGATGAGGATGTCCTTGGGGCCGCTGAAGTGAACCGTGTAACGTTGCTAATAGTGTTTGGACTGATCCTGTCACGTGCTCGCGTCAGCCCACTGACTGACGGGACTGTTGCTTCCATCACACTTTATGGGAAGCATCAACGAAGACCCGTGGAATCAACCGAAGCAAGCGCTGCCCTCATGGAGGAAAGATAGCTGAGGAGAGGCCCTCCAATGTGCTGCTGCAGAGCGAAAAGTTTGCCGGAAGTCAAGTACTTTTGCAGGGCGGTTGTGCGAAAAACTGGCCACGGTCAGCTGTTGGAGAGAGAGAAGGACGAGGAGTTGCGCATGCGTAGTGTGAGTGCGGACGCCGACGTCGCGAGACATGGACACGAGCAAGAGATGCTCCGCATCTGAAAAAACAAGGTGTCTTCATTTGTGGACTACAAGACGAAACTGTCAGGGGTCCTGCAATAATATTTTTGGACTGTACCTATCAGTAACAAATGGGTAAGGTTTCTTCTCATCAAAAACAATCCTTCTCATTATGTCGAATGCACATTGACTGTTCTCCCTAGATCTCCCACTTTCTGTTGTATTGAGTAGGAGTGCAACTCCAATCAATTCCTTCTGGTAGCGCTGTTCGAAGTGTTGTGCTTGAGGTAGCGCTGTGGCATGGTTCTCATTACGAATCTAGTTATGAAGAAACTGTCATTGTGAGAATACGCCAAACGCTTTCTTTCTCATACAGTGACCAACGCCGTATCGTCGCTTGGCTGGCATTTTCTTTGCTGGAACCACAGACCGACATTGATACTTGTGAAAATGGACACACCACACAATCTTACGTTTGCTAGTTCACACAGCGACCAATGTTATCTTGGACAACGTATGCAGGCTTGAAAAATGACAGCACCCAAGACAATGCGGAGAAGAAGGCCGCTGCACGGAGGTCAGCAACACTGGAGAAAAAGGGATGGTCTTATGGATTAAGGCTTATCTTGTGTCGTATGGTGTCTTCCTATGAGAGTGAATCTACCTTAAGAATGCTTCACTTGTGCCCGAGAAAGCTTCTCAAATACATGACATAGTATTTCGCATCCATCACAGACTACTACAGCAGCAGTAGAAGAGAGCGCGACGCTCCGGAATACCGGGACGCAGCGCCCGTACGGGCCCGCAGGGGGACGTCACGCAGCCATCGGAAAGGCGATTGGGAATCTACGGGTTGTCGGAGGAACCCTAAGTTCAAGGCTTTCAGCCAGGCGTGAATGTATTCTCCTCTCTCGCTGTTCAAGATGGTACTAATTGGTAATTTTCGGCTCATTTGTCTTATACATAAGTGGTTCCCGCCATTTAGGGCTGTGGGAAAGGCAGTGCGTCTAGTGTTATTAATCTAATAGCCAAGGTGCACATAGTCCAGGCTTTCATGTGACAATGTGTGGTGTGACGCGAAAGAAATATTAAAAATAGCCACTGATAAGAAAAGCACGTGAAGATTCTTCAAATAAAATGGTGCTACTTGGACTTGCTTGCGTTCAGTAGTTTGTAGTTGTTATGCTGGTATAACTAAGAGATTACGTTTTCAGAACACTTACTTGAATTTGCGGTAGCCAGAACGATAATTAAAATGAAAGCCGAGAGCCCGTACTTGCCAGTCATTCCTGGAGTGAAAATGAAGAAAGGAATAGTTGCACGACGGTGTGTACAGTGGACGCGCTCACAAATACACATATCAAAAAGTTACTGGCCTACTTTTTTAGTATTTATCATTACTTAGAAAAAGCATTGTGAGCCAAATCTTGAAAGTCTCACAGAAAGAACGTTTCATAAAATGTGAAGGCGTTTATTTTTTGTCGGGGCTCGGCACCCTGAGAGCAATAAAAAACTTACAATCATAATAATTATTTATTTATTATCGTGGCGCGCGGGTAGCAGTGAATGTTAGCAATCAGTGCCTATTCAGAAGTTTTGGCTGGAATCTCGTAGGCTGGGTGCCTTATGACAAGGTACTAAACAAGATTTCTGTAAGAATGTGATTGCGCAACATTTTAACTCTTTCCGGCACTGTGGTCATCCCAGGTAACCACCTATTTCCTCATTTTTGCCCTCACGAAACACCTGAGCTCCACGTGGAGCATTTTAAATTGGACATATTTTTAAAGCTTCCTGCAATCTGACAAAGGTGACGCTTCCTTCCTTTGTACTTCAGTGTGACATGTTACGTTTGGTTTATTCCGGCTGCTGCCGTGGTCAAGGCCCGGCAGACCCGAGATATTTTTATAGATGTAGAAGTGTGTGCTGTTCTTATTATGTTGATAGTGCTGGAGAGCCTCATGCATGTGTAGTTAATGCTAATTACAATAGAAATGAAGAGTTGCACGTTCAACGAAAGTGACCAGTCGACCCGGACGGCATGGTGGTCACATCAGGTGACCACTTATCACCTTTTGAACTAAAACTGGGAATTTTGTGTGTTGCGAGAAAATAATTGTCTGCGAAAGATTTCGCCATTTGCTCAATAAAACTCTGTTTCCCGCCAAAAGTGGAGTTCTGTGCTCGAAAAACTTTGGTGCTCTTCAACGTAACCGGTATAAACCGAAGAACGTTTCCTAAAATATGCATGTCTGCCCACCGATGCGTGTTCTTCTAAGCGAAATTGACGTTCCGCAGTTTACATAAAATGCCTGGTGAGCGAGACGATAACCACATACTCCTCTATACACCAACAATGTTGACAAATACGCCGGTGCGGTTCGCCTTATGGCCGAATCAGCACAATGCTCGGCGTCATATTTTCGTCGTATACCGTGGGCAATACCCAAAGATTATCCCATACAATGACTGAAAACAATGATGTACTCTGTGTCGTGTGCAGAGTATGGTTGAGAGTGGTGTGTAAGGGTGTGAATAATATCTATATTAAGCTTCAGCAAGTATTTTTCCGAATTAATCTCCATTGCAATTAGCCAGCTTAAGAATACCTATACGCTCGACTACAGTATAACAAGTAAATGTTTTAGCCCCTTCATAGCGATCTCCGCATTCATTTGCTTTGGTTCCAACCAGCTTTTGAAAATTTACTTATTGTTGCCAAACACTGGGGCACATCGCCCGTCAAATATTAGGAGCGGCTGGGTGACCTTAGAGTGAGCATGCGTTCCATAGCGTTCGCCTAAAGAAGTGGTGCGAGCAAGTTTTGAAGCTATAAGAAGTTTGCGGTAGGTTTTATCTGTATGTACGCACACTCCACATGAATGGTCGGACGCAGCAAACGTTTGAATATACTTTTATTCACTTCCCAATTGTACGTAAATGCTATTTGTCGCTATCGAGACCCATTTCTAGCGTGTACAACACTGCCGTGGCTCATGGGACGGGCCATAAAAGTTGCAGTGACGTCACATCACAGCTGTACTGACGTGTGCCACTTTTGGACCTGCGCGACGTATCTACCAGCAAAGCAACGGTTGCTACATCACTTGCGTCAGCTGCAGACAACCATTGCAACTTTCGGCAAATTTATTTGCTGGTGCTTGCGTGGTACATGTGTGCAAGAGGAGTCGATACTCAGCACGACGTGCCTCACAACTACGTGTGATCACGTCATCATGCCACCTACGCTGCTATGTCACAGCCTGACTAGGCGTCGAGAAAGTAAAACGAAACGTTGCCCCCTTAAACAATGCGATATTAAAATATTCAGCGGGAATACATGAATATTGGCGCCTGAATCACACTACTTGGCGATATATGGACCCCACCTCCATGTTGCGGTGGGACGACAACTCTGTGCGGCGGAACTGGTAGATAGCTCTAGGAAAATTCGGGATAAGCAGGCCAGAGGGTTTGGCCGATTCATCCTGTGACACAGACTGCGGCGGCACGCGTGCATGTGCGTTTTTCGGTTAGTTTGGGGAACTTCGGCGCTCTGCCGTGATCGTGGACAGCTGGTTTCGCACGCTGAAACAAAGGGCATATTTTCCGAAGCTGCATTTTCAAGATGGTGCAAGGGAGCCCACAAAAGCGGAAGCGAGGTTCGAAGTATTGTTGTGTGCCACGACAGTGCCGACAGCAACAAGGCACATGATACACCTTTGAAACTATCAGTTCCCGGACAAGTCGTACGAGAGAGAAAGGACACAAGCATGAACCAACATATTTAAAAGAACAAAGTGAGCTCTGGCTCTGTCTCGCCTTACGTTTTGATTGTCTAAATTCTTAAAGACGTTCGGTTGGTCTTCCAGAATCAGTAGGTAACGCGGCGGGTCCATGAAACGGCTGTAAAAACGATTGTTCGCTCTATTCTTACATTGTTAAAGTCGATCGAGGTACGGTTGTTTGTTGGAACAACGTTGTGTATTTATTCCTCGTGTTTGAGAGACGTAACTCTCGTTGCTAGATGTTCACACTCGCGCACGTCATACCAGGGTCAGTGTTACATTTTTGGTTGCTTTCAAGTGTACTCAAAGCTCGCCGGCTGCAATTCACGCATTTGGAAGGCTGTATCATCAAGAGGAAATGAGAGTCTGTGAATGTTCAACGAACTGTGCACGGCATTGTTTCACTGTTTTGTTCTGTAGCAGAAAGGTCAAGAAAGAAGGATGCGGCGACATAGGTACCCCAAAACCAACTGATTTATTCCATGTTCCACCCGTGCCGCCTCGCGCCTACGTCCACTTCGTTGTTGTTGCTGCGTCGGCGGGCGTTCATGTGTAAGAGCCCTCCGCCGTATAGATGGAGTCGCCGTCAAGATATGTCAATGTGACAGTCCTGGTTGCGAAAGCAGAGGGGCGAAAGGGTGCTCAACTTTCATGAGAAGGTTGGGGCTGAGAGTGGTGCGCACTTCCGGTAGCGCACGGGAATGTTCCATTAGATGAAGTGAATTGAGGCTTTCATGTCCCAGGTTAGATAGTTTTTCTTAAGGCTGGTCGTGATGTGGCGTCGAAGATTTGTCGGTGTAAGCCGTTGGGTGGACACATGAATGCGCCATTTTTGTTTAAGTCTGTGTGCATGTGCAGAAGTGTGACACGACTTGTAATAAGATGGGTCGCGTCAATTGGAGCACAGGCAAGAGGCGTGACAGAGTGGAAAGAACGCTGCTGAAGTTGACCCGCATTGGCTAGAAAGCTCGCGTTGTTCTTGACCTGCGGGAGGAGCTTTGCGGCGGTGGTACAGCCCGGGACAGGGTGCTTGCCTATTCCGGAGAGCTTTGCATCTCCGTCGAGCTTTTGTGCAAACACGGGTGCATCAGGTGATGTAGAAGCTGGCTGACGGCACCTACGTTATGGCGAGCTTGCGGCAGCGCTAGCAGTTGTCTCCTCAGTCATTGTTCTTGTTAGTAGCTGACAGGCACTCTAGGCGTCTGACGATTGTGTCGACCGTGCGCTTGGCGGAGATTCGTAGCATCTGCGGCCTCATGTACGGCTACTGGCGTTGGCACATCGCATGATGCCGGTGCTGCTTCACTAAGCCGCGTGGGTATCGCAGGTGTGGTCCTTGACGTGCACAAAACGGTTTTGACAGCGTCGTCAAAAAAACTATGCCTTGAAATGGTTGCATGGTCACCTTAAAACTGGCTGATGCTGCAGCGCCAAAACTTGGCGGAACCTAGTTTGACTGATCTTGTTGGCGCTATGAGGGTATGATGACCGGAATTTTGAAGCTAATGTTTAGCATGGCAAGGAGTCGCATCGTCGCATCGCCAGTTCAGGTAGGGCTAGCACGAAACCTCTGAGTCAGTCATATGCCTCTAGTCCAGGAGGAGGCATGGCGCAACACACAGCAGGAGGAAGCACGGGTACCGTGACGGCGTGCCTCTTCGGCTGCAAGGCGATGTTTTGCAGGTAGACCCCAGTCTCCATCTTGAGGAGCCAGATGGCTGGGCTGCTTGGCCGAAGTTCGGGTGATTCCGGCGGTAGCACGATGCAGGGCACCGAGGTCGTCACCACTGATCTAGGTGCCATAATGGTAGGCGAGTCAGGGGTTGGTCAGCTGGGTTTGAGCGCGCAGTGAAAGCTTTTGTAATTCTATTCCATGGTCGGGAATCACCACTGTAGTGGAGAGGCGAAAGTAAGAAGGATCCTGCTACAATGGAGCACTACAAACAACTGCTTTATTCGATGGCCCGGGTGTGCCACCTCACACCTACCTCCACTTCGTTGTCGTCGCAGCGTCAGCACGCCAGCATGCGACAGTTCTATGTCTGTCGTTTTATTAGGACGGTATTTATTCGAACCGCTGAATTTAGCTGGCACTTATTACAAGAGGAGGGGAAGGAGAAAGGAAGAAAGACAGGGTAGGGAGGTTAGCCAGTTCTCACACCAGCTGGATATACCCTGTGCTGGGAGAGTGGGTAAGGGGAATAAAAGAGCACAAAATTGGGTGTTTGAAAAAAAACGAAACGATAGACGACACGGCTTACGGTTTGTCCCTGAGGCCACTTGCCCGCAAGAAACACGGCAGCGCTCTCACTGCATTGCGTTCCGCAACCGATGTTGACCAGTTTCTTGAGTCCCTTTCTTCTGACAATTGGAGATGGTCTAGTCTGTCTAGAACTTTCGAAAATTCTTTTCTTCGTGCACTGAAGTGAGGACACTCACATGGAATATGGGCAATTGTCTCCACGCAGCCACAGTTGTCGTTTGTCGGGCTGCTGGTCATT